ATGTATACCATAGTAGACAAAAGCCATTTTAATTGCTATCTAATCATTCACCCTCTCATGGATTGTAATTGAACTGCTTCGGTTCCCACTCTGTTACTAGGTGACACCTTGAGAAATCCAACATCTCACAAGAAAATGAGAAGCAGAATTCGAAGTTCTTTGACGAAACTATCAGCTTTTCCGGATTTATAGACACAAAGAGCATAAGATGACATAAAAGAGATGCAGCTAAATATAAATTCAAATTTATGCATCATCTGAACAATGAGCTTAAGACAGTGACTCGAGACTTATGCTTCAATACTTAAAACTAAATGGGATCAATATAAAGATTTGCAATAAGAGGAATGATAGACATGAAACTTCAACCTTGTATTTGAGATCAATCTTGTATCCCCTTATCAAGTGTTGATTAATCTTCTAAACTAAACCAGATATTTGGGTTAAACACAAAATCTATGAAGTGATCCACTCACAATAGATAAGCTGTCAGTAAATTAAATGATAAACAACATGAATTATCTATGATTCAAGCAAAATTGGGAATATGCAATCAAATATATTCAGTTAACAAAGTAAAATTTTCAGTTAGATGGAGGAAATGAATCAAATCTATTGGGATTAATGTATTTATAAAAGCCTGATGAGTATTGAAGATCTTTCTCCAAATGTAACAGTTACAAAGTAATTATTAGAAGAAAAAACAAATATACAGAAGATGGGAAAATGAAGTAAGCTTAAATTCAATGAGCAACTATAACATCGTGATTATTCAATACGTTGTTGTTACCATTAGTAGATTCAAGTATAGAGTTTGAAGAAGGTTTCAAACTCATCATCATCATCCTCAAGACAGATCTAGCAGGCCTTAGTTTCTTCCTCCTGATGCGATATGGACCGTAGATCTTACTCAAGAGATCAGGTATCTGGTCTATCTTTGGCGCATCGGAAGAAGGCGAGGTCGAGTCGACTAGGTCCGGGAGGGAACAAGTTAATTAAGGGAGAGTTGGATCTAGCGTTTTTGATTTGCGAGTTGCGGATCTGAGCAAGAGCGCTTGGCTTCAAGTAACGGTGGAAACCGTCGTTTCTTCTCACCGGAGATTTAGAGTCATGGATCCGAATCGGAGAAGAGATTGTGTGAGTTAGAAAATCTGAGAAGGAAAAATTAGGGAAGTAGGGTTTTTGTAAAAGAAGCAAAATGGGAGGCGGGAAAATGAGAGTTTTGGGTTTAAGAGGTGGGAAAGATAGTCTTTTAGGGTTTTGAAAAGGTTACGAAGCGGGTGTTTCTGCGTCACGTC